ATATTGCACGAGGAAAATACGTCAATTATATTACTATTATTTTCTTCCTTATTCTTTAATTCTATATTAGAATAGATGCAACTTACATCCACACTGATTGGTTGGCAAACAGCTATAATCGAGATCTTCCCGACACATGCTCATATTTTGTTGACATGGTGCACCGACTAGAGATGATTGTGGCATGCATATAGATGCTGTTGTATTCCAATAAGTATGTGGCATACATTGACATGTTGAATCATTTTGACAGGTAAGATAACGATTTTCTTGACAACTGGTACCACATGGAAAACCATGTTGTGAAAATAAACTCGCTGATATTTGTACAACGCCAACTCTTGACTGTGATGGTAATGTAATAATACTTCCCGTTGTATCTATGTCACCTTCAAACAATCGACATTGTCCTGATGCAGATGTATCATACTCAGCAATGCGGCATAAGACATTTTGATTACATGCAATAGCACATGCTTTCAATGAATTTTTGATGGTTGTCGAAAGTAATTGTGCTGCTTGATTGACAGGAGAATATTGAGTGCCACTAGGATAGTAAACTATTCGAGATTGAAATATTTCCTCAGAATAAATTGTATTGACCATTAAAGCAAGAAAAAACAGTGACCAAACGAAAGTGACCAACTGTCGACTTTTATATTCACTTGTAAAAAACATGACTGATAACCAGATTATATCTAGAAAAAAATAGTTTTGTTTTATTCAATAAGCATTGTAAAAAGGGCGTGGGTATATAATTTTTCTCATGTGACCACTAAAGATGTGAGGATACTCTAAAAATTTTATTCGAAAACTAATGTTGTCTTTTCGAGAAAATGAGTTTGTATGAAGTAGAAAAAGCGGATCTTCTTATATATTTATCATTCTTGTCGATAAAGCATCCATTTACACTAAAACTTTATGATATTCTGATAGGAAAGACTACTAGATCTTTACCAGTTTAAATGCTCTCTACTATCACTCAGTTTCACTTATAAACGAAGCACACCTTTGTTCATTTTCTTAGATCAAAATCAAACAGATACATGATCGTTTTGAAAAAAAATAAATCAAAAATATATATTTCATATAGTTAGCAAAAAGGTGGGAACATTAGAACTAGCATTAAAATTAAAACGTTCTAATAGGGATAGGATTGACTAATTTGAGAAAATACTTAGAAATATTACTCTATGTTGAAATAGAAGACGCAAAACAAGAAATATAGAAAACAGTGTATATACAATACTTTTGGATGGATACTAAGCAAAGTATAGAGAAATGTGTCTCATCAATTGTTTCAGTTTCTACCTTTTTCTATGTTGTTCGGATAAGTATAAACTCATTTCTCATTTTGATGTAAATGTGAAAGAGTTAAAAATATAGAGAATATTTTTATATGATATGACGAGAAACAAGAACTTCTAGCTGGATGAGACGGTTCAGAGCATTTCTTTTTTTTTTTGTTTATTTTAGAATTATTAAAGTACGCGAAAAAAAGTAATTTTCTATTTGCAATAATTTCCGTTGATAATGGTCTTGAAAATATTTGTATTCTAAGGACAAAAATTTTTATCTACTAGGTAATAGCATATATACTTCGTAATACTCAAATATTTATTATTTTAATACTTGAAATTGTTATTTTCTGGTGTTGTCTACGTCATCATATATCACAAAATTATTATTTTGATTGCCAACACACTCTGCAAGACTATGTAATAGAAAGAAATTCTTGCTTAATCTTTTGGAAAAAAGAAATTCTTTGGGTGTAGATGTGGATAGATAATAGAGATTATATCCAATCTCAGCACTGGAACTAAGGATTGATGATGAAGTGTAAATAAAGAGAAGAACGAGCGAGAATAACATAGAAAAGTGACTAAGAATGAATGATACTGCTGCAGAATTAGGATGAATGCAGTGGACATGTCACGAAGCTAATACTCTCAAAATGATTGTTTCATTTAGGTAGAAGAGGGCATGTAACCGAACCCGAACCCGAACGTTCGGGTTGGCTACATGCCTAGATAGGAGAAAATGATTTTTTTAAATATAAATTGTTTGTATTTTTAATGTTAGTAGTAAATCTGAACAATTTATTTCCACCGAAAAAGAGATTACAATACGATATTTCAGTTACCTTTCGTTATTGAATCAAAAAAGCGTCAAGAAAAAATTCCTTTCTATTACGTAGTCTCATAGACTGTGTTGGCAATCAAAATCATGCTTTTGTGATATATGATGACGTAGAACACACCGAAAAATAACATTTTCAAGTATTAAGAAACATAAATGCTATTACCGTAGATAATTATTTTTATTTTTTGAATATAGATATCTTCAAGACCATTATCAACGGAAATTATTGCAAATAGAAAATTACTTTTTTTTGCATAGTTTAATAATTATAAAACAAACAAAAAAAAGAAAAGCTCTGAACCGTCCCGCCCAGTTAAAGATTCTTTTTACTCGTCATATCATGTAAAAGTATTTTCTATATTTTCAACTCTTTTACATTTACATCAAAATGAGAAACAAGTTTATTCTTATCCGAACAACATAGAAAAAAGTAGAAACTGAAATAATTGAGTGTGAGTGATTATTCTTTCATTATTCACACCCATCTTTTACTCTTTGGCATAACTATATGATAAACCATACGATTTTCGTGGTATTCTCTGCTGTTTTATTACTCAATATATCAATGATTCACCATAAAATAGCACAGAATAATTCATCATATGTTCATCTTTTATTCTAATAATAAAACTAATGTAAATACAGGTTGTGAAATAAACGTTTATTTAAGATAAAAGTGCAACAATCACTGAATATACATACAAGAAACAAACGAATATAATATTTTCTTTTTATTCACATTTATGTTTAATTCAACCAATTTATTATTAAATCCAAGTTAACATTTTTCATTACTTATTTCTTTTTTTCTCAATATTTTATTATAATATTAAATTTTCATAAAAATAAATCGTGTAATAAATTATTTAAATTCTTCATGTTTAATAAAAAAAACTATTCTGTTATAGTTAATTACTCGAGAGAAAAACAAAGAAAAACTAATAAAGCGAAAACTAAAAATTAACAGTAAGTGAAAATATTTGTATAGGAAACAAATAAAGAAATTTTTTTATAGAATAAGAAATACTTCGATTAAATATCTTCTTTCAATTTTAATATTAAATAATAATTTTCTAACAAAATCTTTGTTAATAAATTCTAAATTGAAAATAAAATAGGAATTTATTATGTAAATATCTTTATTTTATTCATTTATTTTAATCTCAGTCAATTCATATAAATTCAATACAAATATATCATGAATAAAAATAATTCTTTTCTATTTGATCTTAGACGTATGAATATTTTGAAAACAGAGAAAAGTTAACGTACATTATATTGTTTATTCTTATTTTTATATCAATTATACTTCCTTCACGTACCAGATAAAATAGGGTGGGATATGAGTGTGGGTGTTTCTTCATCTGTCTGGTCAACACCTACACTGACACCCTCGGCTACATTCGCATCAGTTAAAGATGTTAATTATTCTCTATTGTATCACATGAATTTACACTTTTGTTTTTATATTCATACTCACTGCGAGATTATCAAATTTTTAATAATTGAAACAAATAATAAGAGAAAAAACATAAATCAACTAATTTTTATCACTAGATGATGCTTCAGCATAATCTATTTGTACAGAAAAAGTAGCACGTTTATCTTCGACAATAAATCGTGGATTTCGAGGAATGATCATAAATTGTTTTGTTTCACACATATCTGGCAAATCGAATGGATGTGTAAAATTAATAAAACCTTTCAATGGAATAGGAGGAATATAACTGCCAACATCTGTAAAACCACATCCAAATCCAAAAAGTTTAGGTAATTCAATGAGAAGTTTTTTTATTTTAAGTAGAAGTTTGCCAGTATGTTCTTCTAATATTAATTCACATTCACCATGAACATTTTGTTTAATATGTGGAAACATATTCAGTGAACTAATAATTTCTGCCAAAGCTTTAAATTGAAAAATTGATGGAGATAAAATAGCTTCCATTTGAGAAATTTTGATTGTAAATGCAAGAAATTTAAATTGAATTGATTTCATAGCATTGAATAATTTATTGAATGTACTTTCATGTACTGTAATTGATGTATATTGATCTGAATGAATATGAATAGGTGACGAATTAAGTGCATCTAATACATCACGAATGGCAGAAAGTAATTGACGTTTACCAAAAACATAATGTGTTGATGTTGTTGTAGGTTTTTCTATATTCTCACGTTCTGTAGAATAAATAAAACAATTACGTATTCTTTGTGGTAATGAATCAATTTGTAACATAACATCTTTTAAACTTTCATATGAACGTCCTATAATAATTAGAATAATGGTTGTATTTTGATCAAATTGTTTAATATAATTGAAAGCAACATCAAATGATGTACATCGTTCAATACGATGTTGATCGCATTCTTTCTTCAATGATTCTAAACATTCAGTTACTAATTGTTTGTTACCATCTTTATCGATTATGATGATAACTATTTTTTGTTTCGTTACTTCTAATGATTTTCGTCTAGATGTCATCATTTCTGAAGTTTCACAATCTATAAATTACAATAGGGAAATATATCATGTAAAAATGATGATCAACAATAATGCTGGTCAACATAAAAGTCTCATATTAATTTTAAGAAATTGAGAATAAATATTATGGTCTGAATGGAATGAGGGACTCTCGAAAAGGACTGAATTGTACTTTTAACTTTCGTGTCTTATATTGACTACACGTGCATATGATCTCGATGAGTACGGTTTTAATATTTGATGCAAGAGAAAAAAATTCACGTAGAATATTGCCTACCCTATATAGTTGTTGTTATATTTTGATGAAATGAAATACACAGTTATTACTAATGGAAGATGCACAGATGTCAATAACAATAGATGAAAAAGAGAACGACAATTGACAAAAGTAAGTAGGAAAGGAAAGAAGTTAAACGAGCATCATGAAAGAGGATGACAGAAGTCTTTGAAAATGAATAAAACATATATTTTAACGTTATTGGGTGACATCTTTTGGCACTAAAAGAAGTCTTAGAGTACCAGCGTGAGTATGATTGTAAGGAAAGAGAAGAGACATCCTCGAGACGTTAGTATGCTGAATAAAATATTCTTATGAAGTGTATCACATTCACATCCTGGGTGATTAAACTACCGTTTAATTTAATTGATCATATATTTTAGATTTCACAGTTAATTAAATAATTATGAGAAGAATTAACTTCATTTGAAGAAACCAAAGTATGGCTTGGTTGATAAAAGTAGTGATTCATACTGAATCAATGCTTGGATGACGTATTTATCTGTAAGGATGTGGGTGGGTGTAGGTGTGAGTGCTGTGTCCATCACAGACACACAGTCACACCCACACTCGCATTCACCCATACTGATGCCTACATCTAACAAACATCCTGATAAAAAATCAACGTCAAATGAAAAGGGAATATGCTCTTTTTTAGTTGATTTTACCCATATTATTTCATGAGAGTTAAGGAAAACAGTGAGAAAGAATGCCTTCATTAAATAGAATGAATATTGACATATAAAACGATGTATGTTAGGAAAAAAAAGAAATAAATAACGTTTTTCTCTGTTAGAATGCATCCTGTTCTGGTATTTGAAGTCTTGAGAGTTAAGGAAAAAAATTGAGAGAAAATACTTTTCTTAAATAAAATGAATATTGACGTATAAAGTGATGTATGTTAGGAAAAAGAGAAAATAATAAGTTTTTCTTCAGTTTTAATATATATATAGACATACATATCCTTGTCAGTGAGGAAAAAACAGAGAAGGCAAATACTTTCTCAGATTTTCTTACTTAAATGCTCGTATATTATCTTGAAGACTCCTATACTGAGCGTCATTCTCTTTGATTTTGATGTCATTTACTGTTTCCGTTTGTGCTTACGAAAGATTATTAATTACAACGATGTATATGCATTATTATCATATGAATAGAGGACTTTTTTTTTAATAGGAAAATCTTTTGTTTAAAAGGTATGATATAATCTTTATTGTTTCAGATAGTTTTTATGTAATATCGAAGTGATTATATTTTATAAGGGACAAATCTATCCAGTGAAAGTTTTTTTATATCATCTTTTTCAGAATTCTTTTTGATTTAATTTCATAACATTGTGAAACTTTGACGAAGCTTTACGAATGGATCAAAGCAACAGAATAAGTGTTTGTGATATAATTTATTATGAAAAAAACAAAAACTATTTCGTTTTTTTCATTCTTTACTTTGTAGCCTCAGTCAGGTAATAACGATATAAGTGAAATACAAACTATTCAATCGACAAGATCGTACGTATATTCTGCGCTTTACTTAATAAAAAACATTTTTTTTATTTTAGATGTGTGTGCATTCGAAGTAAATTTACATGGATAATATTCACTATTGTGGTAATAGCAAGTATTACTATTCCAACAACTATTATTCTTACGAAAAAGAAAAACGTTGCTGAAACAAATTCAACAACAGTAATGATGACAACAATAGGAAAAGAATCAATAGCATTGATGTTAACAACAACAGCTCCCGGACCATCAACGACAACAACTACAGGACCATCAACGACAACGACTACAGGACCATCAACGACAACAACTACAGGACCATCAACGACAACGACTACAGGACCATCAACGACAACAGAAGCAGGTATGTCTGTGTTCAAAGAGAGGTAGAGAGAAGTTGATCGATGACTTACAATAACTTATAACTGGCTATTTAATGAAAAAACATCAATCATATATTATTAGTTAATTCTTACTTGTCTAATCTGATGAGAATTTCAGATATTTCATTATTTTTATTATTATTTATGAAAAGGAATAAATATAAAAACCCTTTCTCTTTATAAAATAAAGAAATTTATTTTCTAGAAAATCCTGCTTTTACACGTTTTTTCTATGTAACTTACAAAAAAAGTCAGATACCATAGATACAAATAAAGTATCTAAAAAACATTTTTTCATATATTTTTTATAATATCGCATGACGATATGAGGGTAGTGTTAAGAAAAAATATCGATTAATATATATCCTGTTGTTATGCTAAGGATTTGTCTCATTATCTACTATAGAAAGATTATTTTTCGAAAACGTTTTCTCTTAAGAACATCAATTGTATTCGAAGAAACTATTTTTTACGCGTTTGCTCGGCAGCGCGAACTGAGCAAATAGGAGATTTTTGTAAACTTTTCTCTATTTTTAAATGTTTTCATTTACTTTGCAGGTCTCATCTCACTTGAGAGTATTGATGGAATTGTCTATGGCGTATATAATACAAAGATAAATCAGAATAGTGAAGCATCAACATCTGGCGACTCATCTGGTAACTATCCTGCAAGTCAGTCACCAGCTCAGGCATGTGACGGCAATCCTCAAACGAAGTATTTAAGTTTTGGAAGGTGTTCAGGTGGCGAACATGGAGTTGAATGTGGTTCGGATACTGGTTTTTATCTGGAGTTGAAGCGAGGTGCATCATTAGTTACAGGATTACAAATCTGCACAGGTGAAGATTTTGAAGAACGCGATCCACTTACAGTGTCATTAGAAGGAAGCAATCAGTCTGGTACAGCTCTCACTCTCGGCTCAAGCTGGACTCTGATCTACAATGGAACTAGTGGTCTCGAAAAAGAGCCTGATAGACTCACCTGTGGAATTGTACAGCCAACCAATAATTCAATTCAGTATAAAAGTTATCGGTTTCTTGTTTCGAGCAAGAGGGGCTTTCAGAACAGTGTTCAGTATTCTGAATTAAAGCTACTTGAATAATGAGTTTTGGCTTTGTCATGACCTTCAGCCATGATACATCATCCTCTTTCATGCATTCGCTTATATTATACACATATGCTTGAGTCATCTTTATATAATTAAATTGTATCGTTTTTCCTTGATCCTCCCAGTATATATATGCTTTGAGCTTTGCATGCTTATTCATTCGACTTTTCTTTTCTGTCCATTTAAATTCATTTGAAATAAACGAATAATCTTTACAGACTTGGTTTCATTTTATAAATTTATCTAAAAACTTAAAAGAGAAAAAACGTTCGGAAAATACTCTCATACGAAGAAAAGAAACAAAAGTGAATCATACTATAAAACATATCGTTTTTTATGCTGAGCATTTAAATGCTAGCCAACATTAACTAGTAACATTTTTATTTGTTTTTACTTGAGTAATAGATGTATGAAATCACAAATCATAGCTTAATCATTAGGGTGTGTGGCTGAGAATATTATATCTACGTTTCATATGGTCACACACACTCACAAGATGAAAATTTCTTTTTACAAAAAAGGCAATCAGTCCACGTAAACTGAAAAGGACGCTTTGTATGAAAATAAACTGAAAATAATCAATTATTTGAAATGTTTCTGAATTCGTCAATCATTGAATATAATACTGACTATAAGCTTGAAAAAAAGACAGTAAACAGCGATAAATTTAATACAGAATTTAAGCTATTACACTTGACTCAATTACAGATAAACTGAATATGTATTCGTATTGCCATGAATGGTGACAATGACTCAAATGTCAGATAGTTAAAATTGATTGAAGAAACATTATCTTTGGCAACGGAGTAGCTTTAATCAATCAAACAAGACACATATTTTTCTCTCATTTTCGAATTCTATTCAAATATCTGTTCTTATCACAATCATAGATATTGAAATTGTTTTTTTCATATAAAATGGAATCTAGATCAAGTCACATTCATAATTGATCTTAAATATCTATCTTTGCCAATGTCTCAATTGAGTTTGTTTTAGACAAAAGTACATCTTACGTAACAAGCGTAAAACCTAGAATCGTTTACAGTTTGTAATTCGTACATGTAAATAAATAAATATCTTTAAAAGAACTATATTTATCATAGTTTATCAGGAAAGTGATTGTTATTTATGTTTTTAATAATATTAAATAATTCATTGCTATTCGAGATGTTCTCATTTAATCAACAATCTTTATATACAATATGCAAGAAAGAATGAGATCAAGAAAAAGTCAAAATAATGATAACGACAAATCAGCGGAAGTGTTCTCTTGAAAGAGAGCTGAAAAAGAAAAAGATAAGAGTAGAAGGACAAGTTCAGCAAATGATAGATTTAGTATTTGCTAGTTAATTAATTCAATTCTTTTTTTTTTTAATTTTAGATTTCTTCATAGCAGTGCCATGTTACCATTCTATAAATCAAACTCAGATCTACTAAATGTATCGAAAAGACCAAAATATTGTATTCAATCATATATTATGGCCTCGTTCCTTCGTTTTATTCTCTTGACCAACACAACGACTGTATTGTGTTTACTGTTGTGACAATTAAAAAGTCGTTTTCATTGGTTTTTTTTTTCGTTCTCTCTAAAAGACATATTTATTCTAATACATTTAAAACAGATATCTTAGTATTTTGTGTTGATATTAAAATGAAAAGATACACCAGCTCTTCAAATTGTTCCAGGATATTGAGAAATAGTTCAGAAAATAAGGAAAATATAAACGGCAGGAAAAAAAGAACTTCTTCTCTTCAACCAAGATCGTCCATTGTATTAATATTATCATCACCTAGTTCTATTCAAAAACCTATACGTTGTCGTAAAAATGGTAATGGTGATATGGATATAGAAATACAGAAAAATGTTTCATACAACACGGATTGAGTAAATTATAGCATCATTTTTCTTGTTATTGATTGATTGTTTTTGTAAGATTTGTTTTCATTTCGTCAAAATTAAAAGTATTGGTGGTTTATCAGTCAATAATGTATCGTCAATATACCTTTGTGCGATAGCGCAAATCTAACTGATGATTAGAAGTATTTTTACAATGCTATATTTGTAATTACTTATTACTTTATTATCTGATACTAGTAATTTTTTATTACTCATATTTCTTATTATTTTTATTATTCTGCAAAAACTATTACTTATCACTAGTAATAAATAATAACATTAAAAATTATTACTTATTACCGGTATTGGTAATATGATAGCCCTATACTGTATACTATTGAGATTCATTCATTTTATAATATTTCTCTCATAGAAATCTTCCCTAGTCGAACATCTTGTAAGCAAGATCTTGTCCAAGATCTTAGGAACAGATAAGTGAACAGATCTTGAAAAAATAGGTACAGATAATTTGATTATCTTGTACACAAGATCTGTGACTAGATCTTAGGTACAGATTGTTAAGATCTTATGTACACGTTGTTAATATCTTATGTATAGCCTGTTAAGATCTTGGTAACAGATATTTGAAATCTTGAGCTTAAGATCTTGTAATGAATGATATTTTCGTTTTACCTCGGCAAGATCTTCAGATCTTGTACTAATATATTTAAATTTAAGACCTACATGAACATACAATAACACACGTGAACATCAAATACAATTACAAACTTCAGAAAAAAAACATAATAAAATATAAATATCATAACAACTGTTTTTAATTCACAATCATCTATATAAACACAAATCATTCAGAAGTACACGAAATACAAGATAAAAAATAATAAAAATAAATTTGAACCAGCTTCATCATATAATTCAGCATCAGACGATGATGTCAACGATGATGATGACAATGAAACGGCTTGATCAATAGTAACAACGGCATCGTTATCTGCAATATCGCCAGCTACTGGATCCATTGAATTAGAGATGTCTATGAAATCATCATCTTTGTCTTTGTGTTCATTATTTCTAAGCACCCTCAATACTTCACTTTCATTGCGTGCCAAGCGGTATTAACGCGTACATTATCTTGTTCGTTGAGTCGTACTTTTCGAACAAAATTTATCGTTTATATCTAAAATTAATAATGTGCAGAAATAAAATTAAACTAAAACGAGTAAACAACAGTAACTAATTATTTTAAAACAAATGACATACATGTCTAAAAATGTGTAGTTTATTTCAACAACTCGATATATTAGCATAGATTGATAATGTACATGTTAATCGAATTGATCATTTTTTTAGTATTAAAATTGACGCAAGTAAACTTCAGTAAATTTCTAAAAAACAAATATAATTATTCAAAAATTATTTCATAAAAACTTCTAATTTGAGTCTCTTCATTCTCACCATTGTCATAAAAAAATTTCATTTTTACAATTGCAAAATATTTAGTTCGTCGAAAAAAATCATGATTAATATATTTAAGAAGAACCAATATATCATCATTAATCGATGCATAATTATTTAATTAAGATTTTTCATGCTTATATGAGATAAAGACTTGGCCCTTACAACATTTGTTATTTTTATGTTCATTCTCTGTTTTTATTGGTTCATATATATATGAAGACTGTAAAAAAGCTTTTTTTATTTTTTTTCTGTTCTGTTATGATTTATGAATATTTTTAATAAAATAATTCAAATATTTGAATTATTTTTTTTCTATTATTGATGTCGCTTTAGTTTATTCAAGATCTTGGTGCAAGATAATTACAGTTTAACTTTTTTTCAGTCTTCTGACAGTTTTGATATCTTGAGTAAAGATCTTAATAAGATCTGTGTTACAGACATGTAAGATATGATCAAGATATGCTTTCTCAAAAAAAAGAAATGATCTTTTTAAGATCTTGGCAAGATCTTACTTACGAATTCCAAGATTTCCAGATCTTACTTACAAGATGTTCGACTAGGGTTCCACTACCAATCTTGAAATAATAGCTTGAATTATATAAATAATTAGCACAACCAGTATGATTAAATTGAACGATGTACATCCAAAATTCGAGATACGTTATAGTACTGAATATATATCATTCGATCGGTCAAGAACGTTTTCAAAAGAAAATTTAATGAATCTTAATAACTTGACAAGTATTTACATATTTCAGTACATGTCAAGAAGAAATTAAAACGTATTTTTAATTATTTAATAAATCTTTCAACTATGAGAATGTTGATTTCATATAAGCATTGCTATGAGGATCAAAGAAAAATATTGATATCTATTAAGAAGTGAAGATTCTTTTTAGTCTCAGTATGTTTCAATTATGAAAAAAGATATTTAATAAGAAATATCTTGGTAAAAAAAACAGAAAAGGTGACAGTTCGAATCAATGATGCGAACTATTGAAAGTAAACAGAATACACATATAAAAAATATGACTCATATTTTTCACGTGTTATACTCACTTTATTAGGGAAGTCACGTACGCTTAGCAAGGTAAATTATAAAAAAAGCCAACTTTTTACATATACATATTCAGTATAAGTATTCAATTTTATATTATATATGATGGAAAATGAAAAGAATATAATTCTTATTTGTTTTGATCCAAATAATGAATTTAATGACTTCAAAATACAATTACAACAAATCAATGATTCTGTTATATTTCATGATAAACTCGAATCATGTATTAATTTTATTAAATCAATTGAAGATAAAATAATCTTTCTGATTATTTCTCCTTCATCTACTTCTCCATTTAACAATTTTAATCAAATTAAAAGCATCTTTTTATTCGATGTTTCAAACAGTTCAAATGAATGTTTATCATTTGAAGATTCAAAAACAATTGGTATTTATAATCAATTTGATTTATTATGTACTACCATTAAAGAACAAATCGATTTGATCGAAAAGAAAAATTGTCAATGGTGTTTTTTTGATCAAATTCAATATAAAAATAAAGATTTATCAAAACAATCGAATAGTTTTCTATGGCATCAACTTTTTCCTGATGTTCTCTTACATTTATCATCTGATCAACAGTTTGAAAATGTAGATCAAAGTATCTTGCAACAATTCCCATGGATTAATGATTATGAACCAAATGAAGCTGTACGATTGTTTATGAAATATCCATCACTTCGAGAAGTGATTAACAAAGCTTTGAAAAATGAAGATATTAAACAACTTTATATGCTGCGATATTTTCTCAGTGATCTAATACAAAATCTTCAATTCGGTAAAGAAAATCGAATTGTTTATCGAAGAATGATTATATCTCGTAGTGAATTTAATCAAATACAAGAACATAATGGTAAACTTATTATGATGAAAGAATTTTTAACAGCAAATACTGATCGATCATCTTGTTACGCATCATCAACAAAACAAATTTCAGTACTCTTTAAAATTGAACTGAATAGAAATTCAATCTTTACTGATCTTGAGTTATCTAATCAAGAAACGATTCTATTTAGTTTAAATTCAACTTTTCGAATAGATAATATTCAACAACAGAATGATCAATTATGGATTATTAAATTAATTTCAGTTAATGATGGACAAATAATTAAACAAAAATATATTGATGATACACGTCGTCAATTCGAAGATTTAAGTATTTCAATTGTTTTTGGTAAATTAATTTGTGATATGAGTCAATGGAATCAATCACAGGCATATTTTGAATATTTATTAAATAATTATTCACATAAGGAAGATTTAGCATGGATTCAGCATGGTCTTGGTCAAGCTCATCATTGGAAAGGAGAATGGAATCAATCAAGAATATATTATGATCGTTCCCGTGAACGAATGATGAAAAATGAACCAATTCGTATCAGAGATTCGGCTGTTATACTTTCTGATATTGGTGAAATATTATATTTACAAGGACAAATGGAAGAATCCTTTAATTTTCATCAAAAAGCATTAGCAATTCGAATGAAATATTATTCTCCTTGTCATCCACATATTGCTATTAGTTTACATAACATTGGTTCGATATTTCGAATACGACAACAAGATGATGAAGCATTAGTTTTTTCTCAACAAGCATTATTAATTCAAGAGAAATATTATGATTCATTTCATGTAGATATTGGTACGAGTTTAACTCAGATTGCTTTATGTCTAACGATTGAAAAAAGATATGATGAAGCTCTTAGTTGTTATCAACGAACTCTAGCAATATACGAAAAATATTATCCATTAGGTCATGTATCGGTTGCAGTTACTCTCAGTTGTATGGGTTACATGTTTTATGAACAAGATAAATACAACGAAAGTTTTAATCTTATTCAACAGGCAATGGCTATACATAAAAGATTTTATTCAAATGGTCATATCGATATGGCGATGAGTTTGCTCGATATGGGAAACTTAGAGTATTACCGAAAAAATAACGATAAATCATTAAAAATGTATGATCAAGGGTTGTTAATGTTTAGAAAACTTAATTTATCGAATCACATATTGACTGTTACTCTTTTGGATAATACTGGTAAGGCATACATAGATGAAAAAGACAATTGTGATAAAGCTCTATACTATTATCAACAAGCTCTTAACATACTCGAAACATATTATCCATCATATCTAGCCCGTATTGCTGTCATTCTTAATCATATGGGTCATGTTTTCTTTAGACAACGGAAACTTGATAAAGCACTCGATTTTTATCATCGATCAATAAACCTGCTCAAAGAATATTATTCATCTGATCACGTTAAAATAATTTCATTTTTAAGAAACTATGATAATATATTGGAAAATGATGAATTCATTAAACATCACGAACAAGTATTAATATCTCGAAAGGAAAATGGTACTACACGAGGTAATACTTGCATCGGAAGCAATTCCAATGGAATCAGTCACATACATCTCAGACAAAATCAATTTGATAAAGCTTTTGAGTTCGCTCAACAATCAATAACGTTTACAGAAAAATCTAATCCAACTCATTATATAATGATTGCTGATAATCTTAGCAATATTAGTCGAGCTTTATTGTATCAAGATAAATTGGATGAAGCATTTGATTTCGAACAGAGAACATTAAATATTCTCAAAATTCATGAACCTACCAATGTTCTAAAAATTATTGAAAGCTTAAATCAAATGGGTGAAGTTCAACGAAAACAAGCAAAATATAATGAAGCTTGCGATTTATTTCAAGAAGCTTTGACAATTTATGAGACAAATCCTGCACATGTTAAAGCAGATATTCCATTCACTCTTATGAGTCTTGGTAGTATCAAATATAATAGTGAGAGAGATTTTGATGAAGCTCTAAATTATTATCAGCGAGCAGTCAATGTACTCAAAGAAATTTATGCTACTGATTATAGTCGAATAATCTTTAGTCTAAAATGGATTGCATTTATTCATTATCAGAAACAATCTTATGATCATGCAATTGAATTTTATGAACAATGCTTAAGAATTGATGAAGTCAATTCTATTCCAGGACAGTTAACTATCGATGAATTTCTTATGAGTTTAAGTGATATACAACAAATTCGACTCGAATTTGAAAGTTCTCTGGCATACGAATTAAACTGTTTGTTAATGCGTGAAAAAGTTCTACCACCCAATCATCAAGATATTGGCAAAAGTTTAAATAATATAGGTTTATGTTATGAACATCTTAATCAACGTAAATTGGCACTTGATTATTATAAACGAGCATTAGTCGTTTATGAACAATGTCCATTAGCTACACATCGTCGATGGTCTATAGAATTAAAAATTGAGGAACTTTCTATAGAAATGGATCAATTCAACATTTAAACCTTCAAGGGTGTGGGTGTGGGTACTGTCTATTCTTTTTTTGTTTCTGTAACTACATATTAAAATGAGTAAAATTGAAGAACATCAATTGAGAACGTCTAGTTATAGTCTTTCTGAATTAGTTTATAAGTTTCAACTATACGCGAATAAGGTGCATACATCACTTGCTGTCACTTCACGACTGTATACTCGAAAGTCATCTATAGCACCTGCAAATGAGCCTGGCAACACTTGATTGCCTGGAACTGCGGAGCAGCTCACACAGCCGTTCAAACAGCCACCTAGTGTCACGTAATTAACCCAACTCGAAGCAGTCTGATAAGTTGTCGCTGCTATTGATCCAACTAAAACATTATTGATATATAATCTAAGTCCATTTGTTGAACTCCACGTCTGAACAATGTGAGTAAAATCGATCAGTGACAGACTTGAATACGATATACCCACGTAGCTAGTATTTGTCATTATTTGAACTATTAATGAACCATTTGATGCAAAACCGATAAAAGGAACACAAAAACCAGTGCCCGAGCTATTGGTTGATACGTGCACGATTGTACCCGCAAGTAATTGTGGCTGCACCCACAGTGAAATACTAAATGGTTGATTGGCTATGCCGAGAGCAAGAAAGCCCGATGCTTGGAAGAATGACAAGGAGGTACCCATGAATGAAATAGCTTGTAGAGTTCGACCACTAACCAGACTATAATTTGAAGCGAGAGATGAGACTGTATTTGGTCCCAGATCAAGTAGTGGTGAACTTCCATCGAAGCTGAAGCGAGCCGCTAAGGTGGCCTGTTCCAAAATTTCACATGCAGACTTTACTCGACCACTAACGGACAACTCGTCAATGTAACCCTGTAATTATCAAAAGTATTCATATTTTAATTCTGTTAAACTTAGTATTGAAAAGAATCAAAGAAAATCTGAAATGCTTACTAGCACAGAATATAGCTAATAATTATATACCTGAAATGTATTGATAGTTGATTCCAAATAAGGAAGATTGCCAATCTGAAAGCTACCACTGGTCACTTTCAACACTGAACTGGTCGCACCTGTTGCCAGAAGAATTCCGTTGCGATAGATAAACAATGTTCGCGTTGTGGCCTCAAATACGAAAGCTGCATGCTCCCAATTATTAGCCAAAACCGCTGTATTGCTGTTAACATCATCACCATAAAGACCAAAGTAAAGTGAGTAGTACGAGCCGGTATGACGAAGTGTCATATGCAGGCATTGGTCGTTTATCTTTGCAGGGCAGATACCGCAAATACTCTGGTGTAATGTGTTAGTCAGACTAGTTGGATAAATCCATGCATCTACGGAAAAGCTTGTATTTGCCAAAGGAATGTATGAAGTTGTCACTACTTGATTAGAATTAGCAGCGAACGAAATAGCTTGACCAACGTACCCTTGGACGAATACAAGACTAGGACTACCTGTTGGAGTGCCATTATGCATAGTCGTCTCATCAGAATAGTCGTTTTCAAAATGCCATTTACCCAAGAGTGACTGTGTAGATAACCAAGTTTGATTGAGACAAGTAGTGTTACATATGGGCAAAGTTGTTGTCGTAGCTTAGAAATATCATCATCATTTTTTTTTTTGAATATATAGAATATCTTCGTACTTACATGTTGCTGTACTTGTCGTTTTGGTTGCTAGTAGTAGTAGTAGTATATTTCTCAGTATAGAATTTTATAATTTTGAAACTTACTTGTAGTTGTTTCCGTTGTTGTGGAAGCTGTGAGTAATGATGGTAGCACATTTCTTACTATACATAACACAATAATCTTGAAACTTACCCGTGGTGGACGATGTTGAAGTAGTTGTCACTATTGGAGACAGTTTCCATTCATATAATTAATAAAAAACTTAAAATCATATACGCGCTTAGAACTGAAATGTGAAAGATCTATCATTTGCAGCGGCAAATGCTACACTACAGTAGATTTGTCTGAAAGTCACGGAACGAAAGCTAATGTTTCATCTCATCAGCCAAACCGAATTATTAATCACTAGTTTTGTAGATCAAATGGTGAAAAGTTATAGACTCACCGGTTGATGTTGTTTTTTGTTGATGAGAACCTAATAAAGCTATTAGAAGACCTGCAAGTCCAGCCAGTAGAAGAAATGTTCCAATAATGGACAATAAAATACAGCATGGCGAACACACTAAATAGCCGCAACACTTCCTTCTGAAAGAATACAGTAATCGACTACTAGTAACAGAATCGAAAAAGACGAACTTGCGCCGATTTCGTTCCTTTTTCTTCGGTTTTTCAACTACATCCGTCGCTTTTGATTGATTTGACCATTCATTTGTCTAATCAATGATCAATTCTTAATCGAAAAACTCGCTACGCATTGTTAAACTTACCGAAAAATCTATATACTTATTTTTTTTATCCTGAACGAAACAATTACTAAAATATTTTAATAATATGAAATGCTTTTTTACATTGCCCTTTGTTGGTTTGTCATAGCTGATAGATGCCAACGAATCTATGTCGTTGCCCATTACACCCACATTCAATCTCTTATACGATGATGAAAATATTTGAGGAACGATGATACGTCGCGATTGTTCGTTATTGTCCTCATGTTGTCTGTTCTGTACAAGATGCGACTATAAGAACAAAATCGTTATAATTTTTCTAATTCTCTTTCTCGTAGAGAAGAGTCCAGTAAACATAAATTGTCTGATTTTTCGAAAAAGACATTTTCAGAGGTATTTCGATGCGGGGGCTTCGAATTTGAGGTCTATTGGATGACCATAGTTGGGAGGGGGGTGAAGAAGATGGGTGTGGGTGAAAGGTCAAAAGAACATCGAAAACTTATTTTTCACTGTTTTCAATTGTTTTTTTCAGCAAATGTGAAGAGGATGCATTTCTACGAGAAAGAGCTAAGCGAATCCTCGGACGAGCGTTACTTGTTTTTTATATGTAGTTCTATTTCATTATATAACTCACTAAATTGTACACGGAGTTAGCTGCCGGATGAACTGCATCAGCTGTTTGTTTCTTGGATTTTTCGACACTGAAAACCTTTGGTAGATTGGCAGCTTTAGATCGAGTCACAATCTCGTTTGTCACATCCACTTGTGATGGCAAATAATGCCTTGTCTTATCATGTTTTGTGTTCGTCAACTGCATAATACAAGCAGATACATAATGATTTTCTTAAAAACTTACCGATTTCTTTCGGACTGGACGGACACTCGGTTTATTTGCTTCGTCTGGAAATGCAGTCCGTTTTCTCGAACTATTAACTGGTTTTACTCGAATGACTGATATTTCGCTAACACGTACAACATGCTCTGCCATTTCTAGTAAATCACTGAGTGCTATTCGTTGTGCTACTCAGACACTCTCTGATTAACACATCTACAGAAAGTGTTGATTGTTAAGAATATTCGGGTTTCTCACCATACTTGCAACTGTTGTGCATTGTTTGGTTTTTATTTCTTTCATTGTAATAATATTCTTCGCTAGCTGATTATAATGCTGAGGATAGAATTGCCAACATAATTATCCATTGTATATATCAACAACATTTCGTTTATGGTTTCAAATGAATTTTTTTTTGCAATGCCCCATACAAGGCAATACAGTATGTCATTAGAGTCCTTTGGAATGATCGATGAAGGAATATTGTGAAAGGATGAGAAAACCAAATTATTATTAATTCAAAAGAAACCAAGCAAAACATTTGAATTATGATAACATGATTAGTGCTTGCTAAAATGATCTTGAGGGTGTCGGTGAGATAGAGTACACACGCTCACTCCTTATGAGATTTTATTTATGAACTATTCTCAATCTGTTTTAATGTGTTAATATTATTTCAGCTAAAATTTGTGAATTGTTACCCGTTCAGAATGGAGATTACTTTTCACATTCATTATAGTATTTTTCTGCTGTTCAAAAAGAATTGTCAGATTACAATGAAAAACTTCAATAACGATGTCCCAGCTGATAGTCTATGTGTCGAAAATTTTATAATTTTGTATAACATTTATTTTCTCGCAATACTTCGTTTGAAGGCCATATGGGCATTGAAAAATATAAAAAATATGATTTGCGTTTCATCCTTTTTGGTAGAACGTGTCACGTTCTTACAACACACCACTGTCTTTTTTTTCTTTTCTCTTCTTTTTCTTCACCTGTAACTGAAAAATGAAAAATACATGTGCATGTGTAGCATATAAGAGTAAATGTAACTAGAAGAAATACTAAAAACATATTATAATAAACGTTGTTTTATAAGCAAGAAAAAATATGTTATCACAGCAAAGACAACGTAAAATCATTATCATCGGTGGCACTGGAAAACAAGGATCAGCTGTAATTACTGCTCTTCTGCCATCGAAATCTACATCATCACTTCATTTGCTCACACTCACGCGTAATCTACAGTCAAAAAAAGCTCTAGAATTGAAAGAACGTGAAGTTGAATTAGTGCAAACAGATCTAGATGAAGCGACTGTTGATCAGTTAGCAAATGTGTTCCAAGGTAAGCTTGTATTTAATGCTATAAGTCAAACAATTTTCTTTCAATTCATAGGTGCCGATGGTCTGTTTATTGCACAAGCCATCTCTGATAAAGAAGTGGAACAGGGATATAAGATCATCAATGCAGCTGAAAAGGCAGGTGTTAAACAAGTTGTGTACTCAAGGTGAGCTCGACAATTAATTAATTATGTTACGTAATATTAAATATAAATAAATTTCCCTTTATATTTTCTATTTAGTGTTGGTCGAGCACACGATGCACCTAATGTTCCACACTTCCACAGCAAGTTTCTCATCGAAGAATATCTAAAAAAATCCTCCATTAAATACTACACAATTCTACGACCTTTTTCATTCATGCAAAATCTTTTTTACGCTACTCGTTCTGATAAAGAGAAAATTAACTTCTGGACTGATCCTCAGACAATTGTGAACCATATCGCATGTGAAGATATTGGAAAGGTTGCGGGTAAGAACTCGTCTTTCTTGGGTTTTTGGCAAGGTTCTCTAACTTTTCTTTGGTATTCTTTTGCTAGCACAAGCATTTCTGAATCCAGAAAAATACAATCATCAATCGATTGAATTGGCTGGTGACACAATGAACGGCAATCAACTGTGTGAAACGTTCAGTAAGGTGCTTGAACGACCAATGAAATATGTGAAAATGGATGTAAAAGATGAATCAACTCGTCTAATGATACAATGGATAGAGAACAGCAAATTTGTGGTAGATGTTAAAGCATTGAAGGAAGAGTATGGCTTGAATATGAAGAGTGTTGAAGATTTTATCAGAGAGAATAGAGATGTATTTGGATAGATTTTGTAGACAATCATTGTTTACTTTATTAAAAATAAATTAATTTACACGAAATTTCATAATTTTTTTAATTTGCATATCTCTTGAATGTCTTTTTTCTTCACTTTGATGGTGGAATTGTGAATGATTATTCTAATCGAAAGCTGGCAAAATGCGTTCCAATTACACTTATTAAATCCTATCAACTGGAGCCGTGTTACATATCCAGAATATCAGGGATTCCGGAGATGTTTACAAAAATGTGGGATATGACTACGACTGTATTAAACTATTATTAATTATTAGATAATCTCATACAGATTGTGAGAGTGGGCTTGAATGTGGGTGTAGGCTATGATAGACATAGTGAACAGTCAGATCCAGACCTAGATTCCCTCACATCCTCACTCTCACGCTATATGTATATCCTCTCATATGAAAGTAAAAAGTAATGCAGTTTTCAACATTTGAAGGAGAGTATATCAGTTTATCATATTATATTTCTACTACACAACATCTTATATAACTCAAAGGTAACTAAATGACGCAGTCGTCGCTTATATAACGCTTACCTGCCTATTTATCTTGTCATTCGCTTCTTATTTGAAATAAAAAGCCTAGCAAACAACATAAAGAGTCACAATGCATTTTTTTCATTTACTCAACGTGTTTTTTTATTACATTAGCCAATGCATGGCCAGATGCACCATGTCGAATACCACCACCAGCAACTGGTTATACGATTGAACAGGTAATGTTTCTTTCCTATTATTTAACTGATATGCTAATGATGACATATTGTTTATCAATAGTACACTGGTCGCTGGTTTGAAATCGGTAAAATCCAAACAGCTGGCGGTGCTTTCTTTGAAAGAGACTGTGTATGCACTCATCTTGATGTTAATAAAAGTGCTGAAGATCCATCAGTTGTCATTGTTTCCAATATTTGCAACAAGAAAACGGTCGACGGTAAACTAATCACTGCAAATGGAACATTGACCAGCACGAAAAATCCAGCAGATGGTCGTTATAATGAAACAATTCATCCTGTGACTGTACCTGTTGCCTACAATATAATTGTATTACGAACCAGTGAATATAGTGTTGAGTATGATTGTGTAGAGCAGTTTGGCTTTACCAATTATTGCGTCCACATTCTATCTCGTCGATCAACACTAAATGCAACAATCGTACACGATTTACTTCAACTTACCGATCGATACGATTTAAACCCAGAAAAACTTGATTTTGTATGGACAAAACACATGAACTGCACCTATATCTAAGTGTGTGTGTGGAAGCTGTGCAGAGACACGAAAATGTGATAAAAATAAATTTGACAAAATTTTTCGTAAATGATTTTGTAAAAAATATGTTTCTAATATGAGTCATTTTTTTAACTACGAAGAATCTATAAAAGCATTTTTGATGAATAACAACCAATTTCATTACTTTTCTTCTACGAAGTAGCTCGGAAGAAAGAGAATTGATGGTGGCTGTAGATGTTGATATGAGTAAGAGTGCCTGCCCTTTATCTCACCCTCACCCATCGAGTCTCAACCACATTCCATTCTGAATAACAGAGAGAAAGAAAAAATTCAGGTGGTTTCCACGGCATCATTGTCGTTCTCTTATCGAGGAAAGAAAAGAAATTTGTTGTCTTTTCAACAAACTATTCCGCGAGTCATTTAAAAAGAACAAAGAATAAAACGCATTTTTTGACTTGATTTGCGATGGTCGATCGATCTGTAACAAAGTATGTGACATATGAAATAGAATATTTTTGTGTTGAATAAAAATAAAATCTTTTTCAGACCATTGAAACAGTGGTTAAATCCGAAAATAGCTAGTTCTCCCTTTGCACAATCTCGTTTACAATCAGTCATTGGGGTAAAAACATTGTTTCGTTTTTTTTATAAAATTAAATTTACGATTTATTTATATTTAGCCTATTCCTAAAATTCAACCAACTGGTGAAAGTCAACAACGAGAACAAAGAATAACAACACATAATATTTCTCCAAGGTAATTTTTCTTTCACACATGGTATTTTTTTCATGTATGAAGTGAAATTTAAGACCAATCAATTCCAGCCGTCTTCGTTCATTGAGAATTACGTCCGCACATCCCCTAACTCAGAATAATGAGGTTAATGATGAACGATCAACACAAATTAATTCAACGAGAATAAATGAACAAGATGTTCAAACTGAAAGCGTAAATTATTTAATTTTTTGCTATTAATCACCAGAATCTTTTATTCTAGATAAATTTATCTATCGAAGAACGTATAGCATGTGAGATAACAATGTCTTATGCACCGATCGACAAGGAACCATCCAATCATGAAGAAATTATTGTAATGCAACGACATAGTACTGGCGAAATCTCACTAGTCTATCGTGGTTATTTAACTAAAGGCGGTAATTATGAATACTAAGCAGTAAGATGAATAGAAAAACTCTTATATTTTCTAGAAAAATTTTCATTCAAATCCCAACGACGGCCATCATCCAGTTTATCATTAGCTTTTTATGTTGAAGGAAAGTTCATTAGTGTCACGGATGCATGTTGTGAATTTAAATGTACTTCAATTAATTCAAATATTGATGATCAGAAACAATTTATTTTTCAAGAAATTCAAAAAGCAAATCCATGTGAAAAGTACGTACATTGATTTTAATTGAACATCCAAGAGTTCTTCATTAATTATTTCAGATGTCGAAAAGATCGTGCTGATAAATTACTTTCAAATAATGAGAAAAACACATTATTAGTCCAAGTAAGCCACAAATTTGATATTGAATGTGTTTTCTCGATCAAAATCAACTATTTTAGAAAAACAAAAAATCTTTTCATCCCAATAACATTCTGATGCCATTATCTGTGGGTGACTCGGTAGAAAAAGTTCCATCCGATAAACATCAACAACAGAAGCAGACGTCGAAGTCTAAAAAATCGAAACCATCAGAAGTACCTGATGTTCATCACTCAGAAACATCAACAGTAGTGAATTCTAATCAGTCGGAATCAGAAACAAAACCATCAGGTAGGAATTATAAGTTTTCAAATTGAAATATCTTTGTTTCTAGAACAAAAATCCGATGGGAATGAAACTAACACACTCACCATCGATGGTAATACCTTCAATACTCAACAACTTATGCAAATACTTGCAGGTATGGGATTGACAAGTCAATCATCGAAAGCGACACGTCGCCCGAAGAGTGTCGAAAATTTTTGTTACATCCTGGAAAAAAATCTTTCAATATCCATTGACGAACAACAAATGTTGCGTGGTTTAATTAATTTAGGTTTTACTTTCGATGATATTAATTCCGAAGAATCGATTGCATTTCTTAAAAAAGTTATGAATGAAAAAATTATTTTAATTCTTTCGAAAACTAGCATGGAAAATTTATCGAAACCTATTCAAGATGAACCATATCTATACGGAATTTATATTATCGATTCATCGGAAAATAATTCATTCGATTCAAAATTTTATCGAGGATCTTTTTCCAATATGAATAATCTTTGTGAACAATTGAAAAATGATCTTCTATCATTCACTTATGATTTAACAAGTATTAGTTCTATCAGTGCCGATTATACTGGAATGAGTACATTGACTTATGTTCAAGCATTAAAAGATATTCTTTTAGAAATAGATGAAAAACAAGATTTAAAAAAAGAAATGATCAATTTCTGTCGTGAAGAATATGTTGATAATATTATTCAATTAGAATTTATCGATGAATTCGAAAAGAATTTTCAACCATCGGATGCTATTGAATGGTATTTACGAACTGAAACTTTTCTATATAAAATGATGACACGAGCATTTCGAGAATTAGATCCGGATATATTATTTAATCTTCGATATTTTATTCAACATTTACATGGTCAATTAAAATCATCTGTTGATATGATTGTTTATCGAACAGTTCGAATTCGAAAAGAACTTTTTAAAAAAATGAAGAATAATCAAGGAGGATTATTATCATTTAATGAATTTCTATTAGTTAATAAAAATCAATCGCGAATTACACCATGTCCAATTAATCAAGAATCGAAATTAGTTCATTTCGAAATTATTTTAGGAGCAAATGTTATTCGAAATGATATTTCCGGTGAAATTCTTTTAACTGTTGGAACTATATTTCGTATCGATAAAATCGAAACAATCGATGAAGAAACATTTAAAGTTACATTAACAACGAATGATGATATTCTTAAAGCTGGTCAATTAATAACAAAAGATTTACGTGATGCTGTTAGTGGCCCATTTCCATTAGTACGTATGTTAAAATTAGTCAAACAAAGAGAATTAACAGGTTATGTCGAATATTTTTCTGCGTTATTAATCGATGATCCACAAGCAATGAAAGATACAACAGTAAATTTAACACTTGGAGGAATACTTCATTCATTAGGAACGCATTATTATGAGCGAAAACTCTATGAACAAGCATTAAATCATTTAGAAAATTCTTTACGAGTTTATTTACGTGTTTTATCTCCTGATGATATACGATTAACACCGACGTATAATAATATTGGAAGTATTTATCGTAAACAAGGTTTTAATGAAAAAGCATTAGATTATCATCGAAAAGCTTATGAAATTCAAAAGAATTCCGCCAATCCTGATCTAGATTCCGTTGCTTCTTATGTCGGAAATATTGCATCAGTTTTAACAAAACTTGGTCAATATAAAGAAGCAATTGGATATTTTGAAACGGATGTAAAAATTCAAAAAAAACTTCATCCAAATAATAATCATCCTGATATTGCTGTTAAATATCATAATCTTGCTGGTGCTCAATATCGAGCTCATCAATATGCCGATGCATTGAATAATTATCAAAAATGTCTTGATATTGAACTTAAATGTCATTCAGTTGATAACCCAACAGTTGCAGTTACTTATGTTAATTTAGCAACGGCATTTGAGAAACTCGGACAAGTACAAGGTGCAAAGGAATCAGTGGAAAAAGCGATTACACGTTTACTTTTAACGAAAAAAGAAGATGATGAAGAAATACAAGGACATAGAAAATATCTTCAACATTTAGAACAAAAACTTTGGATGAAAGATTTATTTTCCGCTACATGAACTAATATATATTTTTGCTATTTTTATCAAGCATTTTTTTTTGTTTGAAAGAATATCTACTCTGAATTTTAGATAAATGGATTCAGCTCGATTAACTCGACGAAAACAGAAAACTCCTCGATCATCTGCTATTAGTAATAACAAAATAAAAGTATGTGTTTTTGTTTTGTTTTGTTTTGGATATCGATGAAGAAAATAATTTTTAGCTCGATCCAATAAAACCGATCCATGGAACTTGGTTTGTATATCTGTCTTGTCTCTCAAGCTTTATTTTAATATTTAGGCGTCAGTTACAATTAGAATTAGCAAAAAAGAGGATGGGTTCAAGCAAACCATCAGAAACATTGATAAGTAGATCTTTGTTAGATTTCAGTGAGACACATGTTGATACATCTGAAATGGGTCTATCCAGGATGCATCGACAATTTTCATCGGAAAATAATATGTAAATCATTCATGTATCAGTTTCTTTGACATAATTTATTTTTTCTAGTGACGCATTGGGTGTAAATCGTCATCGAATTTCATCTCATGTAAGTTACTTTCTTCAATGCAATGCGATTTAATTTTTGATTTCTTTCTTAAATTAGAAAATTGGATTTATCTATCCACAGGTAAGAATGAATTCTTATGTAGATTATAAACTTTTTATGTATAGAGTATTGTAATTGGACCAAATAATTTGTACAAATCTTGGTCTTGTCAAATAACGATGAGTTATCGATTTGATCCAACTTTACCACCTGTCTTGCAAAATTCAAGACGTGATGAAGTGACAATTTTTCAAGTAGTTAATAATGGTTTCAGTTGGATTGTGTTTAAAGGATTTCTCAAGATGAATGGTAAAATTATTGATTTTATTTTGAATATTAAAGTATTTTTTTCCTCTCTAGATACATTTACCTTTAAATCACAACGTTCAAGAGATGATCGTTTTTGTCTAAGACTTGAAATTAATGGTTCTCTCGATACGACAATTTCAGCATGTTGTGAACATCCATATCGACATGGAGGGCGAATTGATGATGGTGATAGTTCATTTTGGATTAAAACTGTTGAAAAATATGTATCATGCACAAAGTAAGTAGAAAATAAAACGAATATCAAAAGAAGATTGATCGTGTATTTCAGATGTAAAGAAAGTGTCGATTTGCCACTAGAAGAATTAGATGATGAAAAAATGAGTGTTGATTCGGTAAGATATTTACTGATGATTCTAAATCAGAAAAAGATTGAAAATGCTTTGTTTAGAGTTCAGTGAGTGACGAAAGTGAAGTAGAAGAAGATCAACCTGTTGATAAATCTTCGACTATTTCTACTCAAGTATTGGAAATATCGAAGAAAAAAGTTGAACCATCTGAAGTAAGAATTATCAGAATTGAAACATTTATTACGATATATTTTTTAGCCATTAACTGATCATAAAATGAGACCTCTAAAAGATAAATCAGATGATGATGAATCTGCTCTACTTAAATACATCAATGACAGTATGCAACAAGGTATAGTTATCGAATAATCTCTCTTTTAATATTACTTTCATTATTATAGCTCTATCCAAACCTAAATCAAGTAAAATAATTCCATCTCGATCCATTGGCAACCTTGAAAATTTTACTATTCTCTATATTGATCAAAATAAAATACAAGATCTCAATCTTCTTCGTTCTACGATTAATTTTATACGTACAGTAAACGATACACATACATTACAAACATTGTTAACAACAATCATAGATGAAAGACTTATTGTTATTATCACTCTTGATCAAGCTCAAACTACTCTTCCTGAACTTCAACAGCATAAATGTATTCAATTCATTTATTTATTATCTAAAGAAAAGCATTCACCTAAATGGATTAATAATTATAATAAAATCATTGGAATTTATCCAGATATTAACTCAATTCATAATCATTTAATTAAAACACTCGCTGATGTATCTTTTCGAATGATTCCGATGGAAATCACATCAAAAGAAAGTACTACTGATCTACAATTTAACTATTGTCACTTATTAAAAGAAACAATTCTCTGTCAAGATGATGAAAGTGATTTAAAGAAAGATATGCTAACATTTTGTCGTCTTCATTATGCTAATAATCAAGAAGAACTTGATCAAATTGATACTTTTGAAAAATCTTTTATCGAAACAGAAAGTATTCAATGGTATACACGTCATTGTTTCTTAACAAAAATTTTATCACGTGCATTTCGTACACAAGAAATTGATTTACTATTCAAAATGCGATATTTTATTCAATCTCTTCATAAACAAATTCAATCAATTGCTAACAAAGAGCCAATCACTATCTATACTATTTTAGATATCGGACAAGAAATTATTGAAAAATTTCAAAATAATATCAATGGATTAGTCATATTTCATTCATTTCTTCCTGCGACATTGGAACGTCCATGTCAAAATAATGATAAACAACAATGTCTTATCTTTTCAATTAAACTTTCATCTAATTGTGCAGCAAACATCGAACAATTACGTTCATCCGATTGCAAAATTGATGTTTTAATTAATCTTAATACTATTTTTCGAATTGTTTCTATCGATAAAGAGACGAACACAGTGAATTTAGAATCTGTTTCACAAGATGATTCTCATTTTCAACAATTAACTGAACCATTACGTAAAGAAATAACACAAGCAGTTGTTATTTTACAAATAAGTAAACTTCTGTTGGAAACAAATCATTATTGGGAATGTGATTATCTTACGGAATTAATTTATCAAGATAAATCTTTTGAAAATGATGGAACATTATTAGCAAGTCTAGCAGCTTCACATCATCTTCTAGGTAATGCCAATGTAGTGAATAAAGATAATGAAGGAGCACGTTACCAATTCTTTAAATCTTTACGTGCATTTCATTTATTTCTTCCACCTTATCATTCAATGTTATCCTCAAGTTACAATAATATTGGTAGTATGTTCTATCAAGATGATCATCATGAAAGTGCTATTAAATTTCATGAAATAGCACTTCAATGTCAATTGAAAGCATCCAATCCTGATATGAATGCAGTTGCGACGTATTCATCGAATATTGGTGCAGTTTATATAGATCAAAAGAATTACACAGAAGCTATAAAATATTTAAAACGAGCAGTAATAATTCGAGAGAAAATGTCGATGGATGGTGATACAAGACCATTAATTTCACTCTTTCAGAAAATATCCAGTTGTTTTTGGCATACAGGAAATGCGAAAGAAGCATTGGATTATTATAAGAAAACATTGAAACTTCAACTTGAATTACCCAATCCATTACCACATCCATTATCAGTTACTTATTATAATCTTTCTACTGCTTATGCACGACTGGGTGATTATAAAGATGCAGTAGATTGTGCAGAAAAATCAGTTGAATATTTGAAAATGGTTCCAGAGAAACATTTGGAATTAAAAGAAAATCAAGCTCAATTAGAAATTGTCCGACAAAAACTATGGTTGAAACAAGTTCTATCCGTTTAATACTAAATAAAATATTGATTTTAAGTTTTAAGTTAAATTTTTCTGTCCCCCCTCCCCTACAATTATAGATAAGCGGAGTATAATAAATGAGTTTCACATTACGGGGCTACGCTTGCAAGTTTTTTCACATTATTTTAGATAAATTATTAATCAATGACAACATCGAATAATGTAAGTGCGGATATTTGCCGTTCTTAATTACTGATTGAATGTTCTAGAACCCACCCATCAATATTTTTAACAATTCTTGTGCGATAACAATGCTGTATCTTGGTCCACCCACGATTGAATCCAATGGTCCTTATAGATTTAAAGCTCATGCTGATGAAGTTTTAATCCTTCAATCTTATACTACCATGGGTACAAAATCTGTTTTCAAAGGTTGTTTAAAACCTAATGGTAAACATCTATCGATTAATCTTTATTCATAATGAGGAAAAATCAATTTTCTCTTTTTAGATGAATTTACTTTTAAATCATCTCGTTTGACTGATCGTCATTTTGCTATAACTATCTATATCAATGGAATTATTGATCAACGTATTTTTATCTGTTGTGAATATGGATTTGTTAATCAATCTCATTTTCATACAAAACGAAATTCATGTCAACTTCAATCGATTACTGGAGGGATACCATGCGAGATGTATGATAACATAAATTGATGAGATTTCTTTTCTTTGCTATGCTAATATTTATTTTAGTTGTCAACCTCTTGAAATGATGAATTTTTTTTCGAACGAAATTCCAGATGATTATACGAATGATATTACATTTCCTAGTGTTCAGTCGGCAAATTTAAATTCGAAATTTATCAAAGAAAACTTATTAACTGAATCTAAATCAAATATCATAACAAAGAAAGATGATAACAAACAGATGTCATTACCAAATACTTCATCAACTAAATATAATTCGAACGTAGACTCAAACAACACTCAAGTAATTGAAGGAAAGATTATGATTAATATCAATGTTTTTTATTTAGACGTCGAACAAGCAAGATGAGAATAATAATACGAAGGAGGGTGTTAATCAACAAGTAAGAAAGACAATTTAATAAATACAATAGATTAACAGGTGACTTTCTAGGATGATCAACCGATAAATAACATCAAAGTATAGTACAATTGTTAAATTTAGTAAATAACATGATTTGTTTATTAGTCATCGAAAAATACCATAACAGAATTAAAACAAACTGATTCATCTGTTGATGCAAAAATTATGAATGAAGATAATAAAAGTAAGCAATGCTTTCGAAATCAAGCTTTTGACTGTAAAAACATTTATTTTAGCAAAGATTTCATCAGCAGCAAGTCTTAGAATCGAACAATTGCTAACTGACTATTTGAAACTATTACTCCCACAGATAAAATCATCAACTAGTAATTCAAAGTCGAAATACACGACCGAACCAGTTACATATTCAAATCCAACAGGTTCGCAACTTTTTTTCTATTTCAATTAAATGAAAATTTATTCTTCATTAGTAGAATCCAATCGAGAAACAAAAGCTTCTATGAAGTATACAGATTCATCTTCAATGTCAATGTCAGCAATAGAAAGTAAAGCGGAAGGTTTCGTTTTAATATGGTTGGATAAAACTATCCAGCAAAATCAAGATACAACTGATTCTGAACAAAAACTTCGTGCGATTGTTAATTCATTAGTTACTTTTCAGGAAATTAATGATGTTAAGAATTTTATTGAACAAATTCAAGATCAACAAATTTATTTAATCGTATCTGGTGAACTTGGAGAAAAACTTGTCTCTACAAATCAAATTATCGATTCTCCGAAATTAAATTCTATTTATATTTTTTGTCGAGATCAACAAAAATATACAAAATTAACTCAACAGTCTAATAAAATACGTGCTGTTTTCATTGAAATCGATCCGTTATGTGCTCGTTTAAAAGAAGACACCGAACAAGCATTAAAAAATCTCCTTCCTATTTCTACAACATCAGAAGATTCAAAAAATGAAATAAATCAAATTAAATTTCTCTGTTCACAACTTCATCGTGATTTTCTTTTTACTATTGAATACAATAACAATGCACGATTAGAACTTGCAGATTTTTGTTCCAATATATATAAATCCAGTATTCAAAATCTCAAATATGTCGAAGAATTAAGAACGAAATATCATGCTGGCAAAGCAATCTGGTGGTAAGATAAAATTTTGAAATTCTCCAATTTCCCCAACAGACCTCCATGTTTTAGGTATTCTCGAGAAACATTTCTATTTCGAATGCTTAACAATGCATTTCGGACACAAGATATATCAATATTATATAAATTTCATTTTTTTATCAAAGATTTACATATGCAATTGGAACAAATGCATAGTTTATATAAACCATCATTAGCAACGCGAGTTTTTACTGTCTATCGTGGGTTAAGTATGTCTTTGGATGATTTCGAGAAAACAATACATTCTGAAGTTAATAATTTAATTGCATTTGATAGTTTCCTTTCGACTACTTTGGATAAAAAAACAGCTATATTATTTTCTTCAAATAAACAAAAATCTAAAAGTGAATCAGTTGTATTTTGTATGGAAATCGATGCTGATCGAATGGATCGTCCATTTGCTGATATATCTCGTTGGAGTGATCATAAAGAAGAAAAAGAAGTTCTTTTTTCGACTGGAACTGTTTTTCGTATTGTTAATGTAGAAGATAAAGAAAAAAATGATGGTATTTGGATGGTTCATTTAAGTACTGTTAGTGAAAAAGACAAGAAATTAATGAAAGAAACACAACAAATACAAACGACTCTATTAGAATTTTTTGAACGTGTTCTTAATGCTCAAACTGAAGCCAAGAATTTTCACAAACTTCCTGATAGCAATGCTAATGTAGCTAATATGCTTTACAAACAAGGTGTATACAATGAAAGTTTAGAATTCTATCAGAGAGCTTTGCAAGCTCTAAACGAATTAGAATCACCTGATCCATTGACAAAAGCAATATATATTAGTAATGTTGCCAGGGCACATATGGCATCGGGACATGAAGATGAAGCTTTAGTTTTATATAAGGAAGCTTTAGATATTCGTCATCGCTTGTGCGAATCTAATGATCCATCGTTAATTCATACTTTGCATACTATCGGTCATATTTATCGTGGAAAAGAAGATTGGAATAAAGCGTTGGAACGATATAATCAAGCATTAGAATTACTACTAAAGACACCTATTGAGTCTGGTCTATCATCAGATCCTTCATCCATTGCTGTTACTTATATTTGTATTGGGAATATTTATGATCGACAAGAGAATCATCAACAGGCATTAGAAGTATTTTTAAGGGCGCTTAAACAACAACACGAACATTTGCCGGAACAACATCCTGCTTTAGCATTTCTATATAATAATATTGGTGCGATGTATTATAAATTGCAACAATATGATAAAGCTTTAGAAAATCATCTCAAATGCTTGAACATTGAATTGAAAGCATTACCAAAAGAACATATAACATTTGCTAAAACATATAAGAATATTGCCACAACCTATGAAAAACTTCGACAATTCAATGAAGCATTTGAATTCGCGAAAAAATATGTCGACCAATTAAAACTTCATAGCTTAGAAGACAACAAAGAACTCAGCGAAGCGGAGAATTTACTTAAAAAAATTCAAATAAGTCGAGACAATAGGAAATAAAAGTATTCATGACTATTGTTCTTCTTACTACCTTTTTTTTGAAAAATAAAACAAGGTGAGAATGTGTGAGCGTGAATATTATAGATTTATTTCAGATTTAAAATAAGGTTTGATAAGCAGATACATGAGTAAAGCAAATAAAATAATTATTTGAATAGACAACACAACAAAAAATTGAGTCCCTCATGTTTATCTTTCCAATATTAGTGTATGATCAAAGCGAGTAAAAGCATTGCAAATGATTTTTGATAAAAAGAACCAATCACAGCAGCATTTGAAGTTGATAATTGTACGAATGATGTTGATGTTGTTGTACTTACTAAATTTCATACAGAAAAAAACCGTTTTTATGAGAAATAAAGAATTTTAAAATTTGGTCAAGTTTTTTCATTAGTCAGCTCTGGTCAATAAATTGTTAACCTTTCGTCAGAGTTCTACCCTCAGCAATTACAAATTACAAACTTGAAGAATTTTTATATATCTTAATAGTCGAGATACTTACAGCAAATAATAGAAAACTTTTCGATGCGCTGATTGTGTGAATCTGCAACAAAAAGAGAGCCATCAGAATCAAAACTTATACCTGTTGGAAAATTCAGTTGATTCGGTAATATTCCTTCAACTGAATTGCCAGCAATGACTGTACCGGAGCTGGAGCCAATTGCCCAACGGACGACGCGGCTATTTCCGGTATCAACGATAAACATATTTTTATTTATATCTACGATAACTCTTGATGGAAAAAAGAGTTGATTGAGTCCTGCAACAGTTGTTCCACTGGTATCTCCTGGTCTCCATTGTTGTATTCGTTGATTACCTGTATCTGCTACATACATAGTATTCTGATCATTTTCGTCGATAAATATTCCTGTTGGTGAGGAGAATTGAGTAGCTCCTGAGCCATATGTACCGCAAACAATAGTACTCGTTGATGGTGATGACCATTTGACGATTCGATTATTTCCTGTGTCAGCAATCCAAATAATTGATGTACTTGTTTGAACATACATTCCATAAGCCCCATTGATTTGACTTGCATTACTGCCTTTGCCATTTCCAGCGGCCACGATTGAACTAGTACCAGCTCCTGGAGCCCATTTTGTAACACGATTATTATTTGGATCAAGAATATAAATGTTCCCATTTATATCGATACTCATTTGGGCCACTTTATGAATGAAATAGTACATATTAAGAATAATTATCTAACAGTAAACTTACTTAAACCGAACTGATTAACCGCACTACCAGCACTACCATTAATGATTGTCGTTCCTACAACTGCGTTTTTAAGCCAAAGTTGAACTCGAAAATTTGCACTGTCTAATATGTAAATCATACTGTTGTTACCAATAAATACATCATATGGATTAGATAATAGTGATGCATTTGAGCCACTAATACCATTTGGTGAACCAGCAACTGTAGTTGCATTGATCGACCAATTTGACATTGGGCAAATATTCAACGCTGCATTTTGTTTGAACAAAAATCTAATAAAAAAGTCTTTTTTTAAGTATCCTCGGCATCAAACTCGCATTTCTCTTACACAAACAACCATATTGATTTCAACCAAAGTTGCTCTAAAAGTGTATCCATTAAATCGTTAAACATCTACACAAAATATGAACAATCATCAATAATTTCAGTTAACGGGTCACCTTTTTTCGATCAAAACTTTACAAGAAAGCATTGAATCCTGATGCCCACTCCTACCGCCTATCATTTCCTCTTCCCTCGACGGCTACACCAGTATATTTTTAGTATTAAAACATAAACTAGATAGAATAAATATTCATACATGTTTTTTCCTTCTATTCTATCAATAGTGAAACGAGGGTGTAGTATAAGTATATTGATCAAAACACACCCACACCCAAACTATCTAATGGGCTAGTTTTTCATAGAGAAACTTTTGATAATTGAAAATAATCAATACAGATGTTGCTATTCTGGTTACATTTCTAAAAGAGATGTCAGTTCATCTTTTATGAAATCTAATATTTGACAAAGTCTTTTGTTTATTGAATATAAATTGGAAAAAGAAAAAAAAATATATATATATTAAAAGTTTTCTTTCGAAGTCATTAAAAACAAGTTTTATCTAAGTGAATGGACATCGATTCGAGGATAATAAGTTGAACTTACCTTTGTCTGATTATTCAATTATGAACTAGTAGTACTCGAGTTGTATGATAAATGTTACTTTTATTCTCACTGCAACAAAGAATAGAATACAAATGAAATACTCTTTTTTTTTCTTTCCACTATTTTAACCGATAGGCAGCTGTCCTTCATAAATTCTATTTTCTTGATGTAACTTACGTGGTGCCGTACTTTTTTTCCGAGTAATAAGTATAATATTACTTAGATATGAACTGTTTGAAAAGATACAATATAGAAAAAAAGAAAAATTTCCCATAGGTTGTGCTAAACAACAAATGAAATCACAATTAATTTAACTATTTTTGTGTAAGTCTACTTCTATTTTTGAGAGAATTTTTAGGCTAAAATTGTAAATGTATCTTATCGTACTTAAAAATACTTTTAGAACTATTGATTCTATAGAATATATGGAAAATAAAAAATGAGTAACTGTTGAGGAAAAAAGTTCAGTAGAATATTTACTGAGCATTCTTTTATATATAGAACAGCTGGCTGGCGTAAGCCGTTATAGACTACTGTACGTGCTGCTCAATTGTATTCATCACCTTCTACGCAATTGAATATAAGTAGTACGCAGAAAAAACTATGCTGAGAAAAACGCTTTTAATTTACAGGGTGTTCCAAAAGTCCTTGAGAAAAAAAAATGTGAATAGCTCTTGAATTAACGGAAAGGAATATCCAGATATAATTTGGTCTATAGAGAGTTCAGATGGTTCCTAGAATACCCTCGAAGTTTCAGCAAAAACAGACGGTTATTTTCTGAGATACTCAATTTCCAAGATATTGACGTTTCTTATATTTTCTCGACTTCTGAACATTTTGTTTTGAAAGTCCAGTACCTCAGGAAGGAACGATTAGTTTCGGCTAAAACTTTCAGGACATCATAAGGAGCATTCAGCTTCTTCATGGACCAAATTTCATCGGAAAATTCAGTTCATTGAGTTTTCTGCACAAAGTATTCCAAAGAGCCGCACGGGAATAGGGTGTAGGTGTGGATATAGACTCATCTTCTCTTGAGTCACACGCACACTCCCAAAACACTGAGAATACATCAATCAATCGTTTTATTTTTAAATATATGACCATCAAGAAGCATAAATAATAATTTTGATAAGCACATTAATCACATAAGCTGAAAATATACAGAGATTATTATCTTTTCATAATCTAAGTTCAATGTCATTTTTGCTACTTTCTCTGTATCTAAAAGCATACAATTAAGCCATTATAAACTGATAACAAGTAAATGGTTCTACGCATTAATGAGTTTCATTAGCCACGATTCTTTGTCGACGTATTGCTATCTTCCTTGCGATTGCACGGCCTATCTTGACTATCAATTTCGCCACTAATCGCAAGACTACCGTCATGCCGCCATCTATGTAAAAGTGAGATAAAAAATTTCAAGTAACTTCTACTAAAGTCTTATACTCACATAATGAAATCAATTTTGTGATAGTAACGGTAACACTATTTCTACGCATCAATGAATACGAACACGTTTTGGCGGCACATTGATTGAAATAAGCTGAATAGTTTACAACTGATGTCCATGTTTCTACCAAGAGAAGATCGATAATGTTTTTGATTGGGGTATCCGGTTTGAAACGACTGATTATAGTTGAGTTAAGGGCTGATACTGTAAGGTTGGGAGCAACAAGGTTCAGTTTGACAGCTGTTTGAACTTGCAGAAGACAATCATTGTCGTAGAAACATGACAATGATGATTGAAGAAGGGAACTGAGTGGTAAACAGCCAATAAACATTCCACTTACAGCTATACTATCGTTATTGAGCATCAATGGAGTCACACAGTTGGATGCATTCAAAGAGCCACAACTGCAGTTTCCTACAATGAAAATTTCCTAGATTTCTACGAATAGATGAATGTTCTGACAAATCTTCTCATAGCTATAATCGTAAAGCAGTTGTATTTTTGGCGAAATGATATATGCCGTAATTTGTTTTTCTTGTATCTTTCACACAAACAGAAACTGTGTACTTCATATTTCCTATCAATTGAACTCTCTCTCCCTCATGCTAACATTCTCATTTATAGACTTATTTAGCGTTTGTCTATCTGATTAAGAATCAAGAAAATTTAGAGTACTACGCACAAAAGATCGGAAAAAATCCACCATGTAATGCGCTTGAATAAGTAAAAAGAAAATTCCATTTTTTTTAAAACTATCAACAGTTTATGTATATAATAATCATCTTACTAAGGCACATAACTTCGGATGGATCGATTATACAGTATAAGTATATAATCATTCCTGATTTGGTTATCATAGAAACAAGTACAAGGTACGTTCATCAGATGAAGGAAAAAAGTAATACTTACCATAGTTGCGTGATATCATAGATACTAAAGGATAAATTTTCGCTGTAACGTACCAATTAGACTCGTAAGCGGACATTACTTGATTACCCAGTGTAATGTCGAGAATTAAAGAAAGCGTACGATTATAAACAGTAGGCGCTTGTGTATAAAACTGCACAAGCGTAGCATTCATCTGTTCGATAAGGGTTACACGTGGTAGCAGTGTGTTAGTGATCAATTGAGTTGATCCGAAACTGCTCGAAGCATCTGCAAGTATTTGTTGTGAAGAAAGGCAGAAGGCACTGATCAGTCGAAAATGTGAACTGAGAAAAGCCTGATTGATCGATCGATTTACTGTTGTGTCTCCGAATATAGCCGAAATCCATGTTGAGTTAACGAACGATGACGAACATACCTGATGTAAAGTAGGTTGAGTGAGAGAAATAAATTCCGAATATGGAATGGCGAGGTTCGAACACGAGCAGATAAGAATACTTTGATCTGCTTGAAG